GAAATAGAATTAAAAAAAAAAAACAGGGTTGGAGGGGGGGCACTAGGGGCTCCTCAAAAACCCCTTCCCTGCATTACCTCTTGAGGGCTCAAGGATACTTCCTGAGCCAGACCGTTATTGTTGAAGTCAAAATGGCATAGCACAGAAATCGAAGGATACCGGGAGGGCTGCACGTTGCCTACCCTAATGCCGTTCAGCAGAGTCCAAACATCTCCTGAACCCTCGTCCTTCACAGCCGGCCCCCTGCAATCCCTAGCCTTCCCAGTGCAGCCAAGCTGATGGTCAAATCCTGTTCATCCTGCCCTAAAGGCGGGCAAAGACGGACCGATGGAAGCCAAGCTTTGCCAAGCGCCTCCTTCCGTACCTTCCGGGCAAAGCATAGCGGGCAGGCGAGTATTTACAACCCGCACAAAGCTAACCTCTGAATGTTTTGAAAGGTAGCTTGGTTTTGAGCCACCACCACCCCCATTTGACAGGCTCGAGAGCAGCAGGATTCCCGGGTGGATCACTCGTCAAGCGTAGATCACTATGCTCCTGGCAGTTTGAAGCAGCCCTCCCCCTTCCCCAAAAGAAACCTGCTAGGGAATTCATCTCTCCATCCCTTTTCTACCATCATGTGGCTTATGGGAAGGCCCGGGGGGGGGACACACCAGAAACATCAAGGGAAAAAGACTCCCCCCCCACAACAAACCATGGAGGGGATTGGAAATTTGGCTTTTTTCCTCCAAATTCTTCTCTCCCCCCCCGCCCCGGGACATTCACATCTCTAGTTGACATATCAGATAATTCATTCGTTTCTGATATATGAAAAGGAATCTTCTGTGTTCTCATGTGGTTGTTAAGCCACCAAAGTGGAGCGTTTGGGGGGGGGAATCCCTAATTTTAGAAAAATTAAGTAATCTATTTACTCTCTTTTTTTTATTCCCCCATTTTCTTTTTCTTTTTAAAAATCCCACTTTTCCAGACAGGTCTTACAGTCACAGAGTGGCTCTGCAGTGGCCAGTTCCCAACAAGGTTTAAAAGAGCTAGAGTGGTCTAAGTCCTTTCGCTGCCTGAGGCCAAGTGGGAAACAAGAACCCTCCCCCCCCAACCATACCCTTCCCTCATGTCCAGGTCTATTTCCCACCCACCCACCTTAAAACACACAGGCCAGGTTAGATAATCATCTATAGATTTTTAAAAACCAACCTGATTTACCATATTTTTCCACGTATAAGACTATACTTTTGTCTAAAATCTTTAGACTAAAAATTGAGGGACGTCTTACACATGGAAGTAAGCTGAGGAGAGAAAAACAAGTGGAGAGGAAAGCAGGGATCAAAGTGATCCTGCAGCACTTCGATCCCTTTCCCCCTGCACTTGCTAATCTCCACTTAGATTTCTTAATTTTGAATTTAAAAAGTGGGGGGCGTCTTATACATGGGGGCGTCTTATACGCGGAAAAATATGGTAAAACATGGCTAAATTTTTAAATCATTTTTTCCTAATTTAAAGCATTGAAAATAACCCAGTTTTTCAAAAGTCCAAATTGCAATTTTGGATCAGTTTTGACAGAAATCAGACCCTACTCTGCCTGAGGCAGAAACCCCACACCACTCACCCGGGTCTGAGAGAGGAAGGAATAATGCCCCCTTACTCTGCCCAGCGCCGACTCGCTGAATCTGCCACCTGAGGCAGAGGGACGGCTCCCCCCTTGGAGAAGGGGGGAAACCCAAGATCTCCCAAAATAGCTCCTCTTGAGAAGCCAGGGAGAAGGAGCCCCTCCAGGGAGAAGAGGGTCAAGCGGTGGTGGTCCGATCTTCCCTCGGAGACGGCTTTTGGGGGGCTGTTTGAACAATCTCGTTTACAGGAAGCTGCAAAAGACAGGGCTTTTTTGGGGGGGGATCGTAAGCAGACCCTCCCCCTTTTTTTGCAGTAACCCTTCCTCAGGGCTAGCCAGTGGAACTGATTTCGGGAAGGGTTGACGAGGGGACGTGTTTAACGTGGGGCAAGACAACGATCGACGTGATGCTGATTGGCACCCACTCTGTGGTGCCAGCCCCTGACTCTTGGAGGACTTTCCAGAAGGAAATTAAGGGGAGCTGGAGAGAACAATGCGGTTTATAAGCCAACCAGTGGCTATTAGCGCAGAGGGATCCTCTGATTGCAGAAACAGAGGGGGGGGATTCTAGGGGACTCCCTGCTTAGAAATCCCCAAACGTTTTCTCCTGGCCCCATTAAGAGGCCAAGGGTGCCATCCAGACAGGCAGATCTTGCATTTTCTTACTAGGCACCAAGAGTCAGCTAAGAGCAGGTGTCAGGGGAATAGAGAGTCTCTCTGCAGAGTAGCCCGGCCTTAAGATCCTACCAGCGTGCTTGGTTTCCCTCTGCGCCCCTGTCTCCATAAAACGGACGTGTCTGCGTTGCTTGCAGGTGGGGGTGGGAAGTAACCTTTTTTCTTTCCGCCTGCCTTCCTCTCCCCCCCCCGCCCCATGGGTCACTCGATCTTCTCCAGGGCAAAAGACGGCCGGTTTTGTGTTGGGCGGGGCACGGTGGTATTGGGCACCACGACGAGCGGGGTAGATGTTTTTTATTTTTTTTTATTTTTGCAAAATTCGATTTTGCTTTAACTCTGCAACTTGCAGCCGTGATGTAATAGACACTCCCTTTGATGCGCCTGCTCCCTACAGACAGCCCCGTGATGTCACCTCGCCCAGAATCCGTGAGCGGCAGATAGCTCTTGTAAAGACTCCCCGGCTTCAGGAACTGCTCCACACAGGGTGGGCTCTTGACCTGAATGTTCATTCACTTTTTTTTTTGTCCTGTACCCAAAAGTCCTGTATGATGATGATGATGATGATGATGGGTTTTGTTTTGGGTGTTTTATTTTTTTTTTATGTGTAGGGAAGAGTGCAAGGCAAGGATAAGCCAAGAAGGGGAGACCACCAGACCTGGCAGACAGATCGCGGGGAGGGTGGAGGGAAACCGACAGCCGGTTGGGATATTGGGGGGGGGCGGCGGCGTGAAACGGACCTGAACGTTTCTTTGGCTGTCCAAAAGATTTAGGGGGTGGGAGGGAGGAAAGATGCTCAAGAGCTTGGCAAGAATCAGTGGTCTTCAGTTTGGGTGGCCACTGGAGAAAATCCAAGGATGGGGCCGATGTGGGGGGAAAGAAAAAAAGGGGGGCCTTCAGAGGCTCCCCTCCAGGGAATCCCTGAGAGAGGAGGCTGTTCTCTGCTGTCACAGCCAGGAGGTCGAGAACGTGCAAGCCGAGGTCAAGAAGAGGCCTTAGCCACAGTCCCAGGGGAGTGAAATTCAACCTAGAAATCCTCTCCATCCCACTCTCTCTGCCACATAGCAAGAAACCACAAGCCTTAAACTGGGCGCAAACTGGTCCCCAGAAGGATCCTGTCTGGGCTTTGGGGTTCCTCACCGGCTGCTCCTCCTTCTCTGCTAATGTGCAGATCCTTTAAAAATAATAATAATAATAATAAATGCTGCTCTGGCAGACATCTTTGACCCTTAGGTCTAAAGGACCGTATGATGGCCACACCTGGCCAGGGTCTCCTTTCCTGCAATTCCAACCCCCATTTGGCCAAAAAACGATTGCTGTGGGACAGAGTGGACGTGGTGGACGCTTGTTGCTTTGATTTGGCCTTTCAAAAGGAATTAACTGGGGTTTCAGACACAAGAGGCGAGGGTGAACCTCCCCAGAGGAGTTTGCCCCCCCCTGGAGGGAGAAGGGCAGTCCCGATCCTTGGGCTTCGTTGCCAGGATGCGACCTTGGGAGCAAAACAGGGAGGCCTTCCTGATGAGGGCTGGCACGCAATCCTCCTCCGGCGAAAAACAGCAGAGACCCAACAAGAGAGGACTTGTGTCTCTAACACATGACATATGTTGGCATTTTCACCTTTAACAACTGTCTTTTTTTTCAATTTATCATAAAACGGAACCAGGAAAATGTCTGCAATTATTTTTTTTCTCTCGCCCGGAAGCCAAATTCTGGGGTGCTGGGATTAGAATGGGGCGCATGGAGAAGGGGGGGCGCATGTGCCTCTAATTCAGAGCAAGAGGCCAGGTTATGGGGCAGCAGGAAGCGACTTCCGTGTTTTTGCCCCCCCTCCCCGGAACAGAATCAGACCCACATAGGCTGGGCTCAGAACAGAGGCGAGCCTGCATTAAGCGAGCCTGCGTTAAGCGAGCCTGCATTAAGCGCTCTGTTCCTCCACAGGCGCTCTCCCTGCCCGGGGTGAGTGGCAGAGACCCCTGGCTCTGAGGAAGCCCCGTGGTGCTCGCCTCTCGGAGACCTCTGGCCAGCGCATCATCCCGAAGCGATTCCCCCCCCCATCGGGGCATGCGTGGCTCTCTCTCTCAGCCGAGTCAGCGGGTGGCCGAGTGGCCTGCCCTGCCTAACGCCACCTCCTCTTTTGTCTGTCTTCTTCTCTCTTGCAGCAGTACCATCCCACGGACATCGCGGGGCAGCTCAACCTCTCCGACCCCTCGGTCAGCACCGTGGTGTGATGCCTGGAAGCTGCCGGCTCTGGCTGTGGACGCCGGAGGGCCAGGCCAACGGAGGCTCCGAGGGACCCCTCTCCCGGAGACCCCCCTCCTCAAGCTGAGCCTCTTGCCATCCATCCCTAGGGCCTGCGTCTCGTTCTTCACACCCGGTGGCTGCGACGGATCCCCTTCTTCTCTTAGCCCCACGGCCGTTCCTGGGTCTGTGGGATGAGCCACCGAAGAGACAAATCCTCTTTTTTAAAAAAAAACTCAAGAGCTGGCGACTTCCGAACATTTCCCTTTGAGACATCCACGGACACCGGTGGGGGGGGGTCTCGACCCGCGCGTCCGCTGGGCCGAGGGCAGGCCGCTCGTTCACGGAAGCGGACTGGGTTTCCTTTGCCGTGGGGAGAAATTCTCTATATCCTAACGTGCATGCACAGAACTTTACCGCCATCATCCCATCCCACATGTCTCCATGCCACCACGTAGAGGGACGGTGAAGGAGCGCCCCACCCGTAGTGGCCACGGGTAGCTGTTCATAATGGTCCGACCGAAGGGCGCCTCCATCTCTCCGCCCGCCCACCATCCAAAGAGAAAGCGCCAAGGACGTAACCCGCGTTCTCCTCTCTGGCTCCGGCTGAGATGATCCTGCCCGTGTTCAAAGTCCGGCAAACATAGCTCCTTCCTCCCCACGCCCCACCCCGGGAGCCGCTGCTCTTCCCCTGCTGTCCGGTGTGGGCTTCTGTGTGAAAGAGGGGGCCTGCCTTTTGCCCCACATCCTCGCCTGCACCCCCCAGACCGTAGACCAGGGAAAGGGGCCCAAGGGAAATGGGGGAAACATCTCTCTGCTAAAGGGCACTTTTCTGCACAGCCGGTGGAGGTGGCCTTCAGCTCCCTGCCCTGGAAGGCTCTGCCGGGGTGTGTAAGCCCTGCTCTTGACTGGCTTGGTTCCTTTCCTCTGCCTCTCTAGGGCTAGGATCAGGACCGGCGGCAGGAACTGCCCCACGGCTGCACCCCAGAACAGCCCTAGAAAAGAGTCTGGGGCCCTGGGCCACTGTTTCATATGTGAGTGAGTGAGCTTGGTTTGGGAACCTGCCAGATGAGGTTGCAGGGATGCTCCGTGGCGCTCAGGGCCACGGAGCGAGCTTTTGTGGCGGCCAAGGCCGGGTCTGAATCAGGACTCCCTCTCTGGTCCGCGAAACCTCTTCCTCCCATGGGGCCAGGCACCCACCACCCACCACCCTGACTGCCTTTTGCTTCTCTTAGCTCTGAGTTGGGTCCCCCTCAAACAGCAGCAGTCGAAAACCCCAGAAAGTGGTGGTGGCCGGGGGGGGGGGTTGTCGGCTCAGACGGCTTCGTTCGGCAGGGGCGTCCTCCTCCTCCTCTTCCCACCGCCCCCTCCTTTTCGGGTGGCTGGGGTCTGCAAAGTACACGCTCTCCCGGTCAGCGAAAGGGCTTTCTCCTCTACAAGCAACACCATCTCCTGACGTCCTTAGGTGATGCCAACAACACGCGGGGGGGGGGACCTGAGGCACGCATACCTCCAGGTCTACATCAAGTCCACTTACAGGGAACCCCCCACCCACCCTCTGGTAATGTTTTCTCTTCGGCTCCCGCTCTTTCCTTCCCATCTTCTGAAAATGCAGGACCAACAGAGCTGGCCGGCGCTCAGTCCATCCGGGGCTGTTTGCTGCTCTCCACACACACACAACCTCATCTTTCTCTGCCTTCCCGTTGAGAGTCGTGCGAATCCCATCCGTGAATCCTGTCCGTGGCCCATCAGCCTAAGATGGCCAGCTCCCACAAGGGCCGCCCTGCATTTCAGACAGCATCTTCCCCCCCCAGACCCCCTGATTTCCCCCTTGGGGAAAATCCCCTCCATGTAAGGAACCAGCACCCCCCTGCCCTGCTTAGCTGAGAAAAGTCAGAGGAGAATGGGAGGGTTCAGGGCAGTATTTTAATGCCCGAGAGAGATGCTGGTGGGGGGGTGGGCAACAGGACAGCCTCTGCCCCTTGGACCCATGGGGCAGGTCGGGTCTCGAGCTAGGCTTGTCAGCTGTTCTGCACCCTCCGTGAATCCTGTCCGTGGCCCATCAGCCTAAGATGGCCAGCTCCCACAAGGGCCGCCCTGCATTTCAGACAGCATCTTCCCCCCCCAGACCCCCTGATTTCCCCCTTGGGGAAAATCCCCTCCATGTAAGGAACCAGCACCCCCCTGCCCTGCTTAGCTGAGAAAAGTCAGAGGAGAATGGGAGGGTTCAGGGCAGTATTTTAATGCCCGAGAGAGATGCTGGTGGGGGGGTGGGCAACAGGCACATCCTCTCCCACAGCCTCTGCCCCTTGGACCCACGGGGTAGGTCCTGTCTGGAGCTAGGCTTGTCAGCTGTTCTGCACCCTCCAACACAGGGCATGGGAGTCTCTCCCTGTGCATGGCAAGAGGGAAGGGAAGTCCGCAGGTGAGCAGTGCCCTCTCCAGGTGACGATGCCAGCTGCAAACGGGGTTCTCGCTCATGGAGCATGCCTTACAAGGTCTGCTGCCCTGCGTTAGCGGCTGCTGGCGTCTTTATTGTTGGTTTTGCCCCTTGGGGGGGAAAGACAAACCGCACCGACGCCTGCAAGAGTGGGGACTCGGAGTTATGGCCGAGCGTTTCTTTGGCTGCTGTGATTACAAGGCGTGATAAATGTGGCTTTCTCACCTAGGGCGCGGCACGCCTTCCTCCCTGCATTGCACTCCCAAGGCGGCCGAGAGGAAGGTGGGCCTCGAACTCACCTCCTTGCAAGACGGAGAGCTCCACGCTTGCCTGCTGGCCGGGAAGAGTCCCGAGAGGCGGAGAGGAGAGAGAGAGACAGCTTGGGTGTTAAGCGCCAGGCATCCTGATCCGTGCCGGCCCTTGTGATCACAGAAGAGCAGGGTGGAATCCAGATTGCGGAAGAACGTTCTGTCGTGTACCAGACTCTCCAGTAGAACCAGTTTCCTCCCAGAGTGGTAGTAGGTTTCGTTGGGGCCCTCCCCGGCTGTCACCGAAACTCAGGGCAGACGATCAGTTTTTGCTCTTCCTCCAGGGGTGGCCCTGGGACCCATACGGAGGGGGTCCCCAGCACGATTTAAGCCTCCCCGAAGGTACATCAGAATCTGATTTCTTCCACCTTACCAAGGGAAAAAGAAAACGGGCAGCTTTTCCTCCCACCCACTGGCTCTTTCCATCAATCCTTCACATCTGGATTCTCATTCAGGCGGACACATCTGGGTGCAGAATTGGGCGGAGGGGAGGGGGAGTTCCCGCATGATCCTGTGCATCTCCTTGAAAGCAAGCCCTCGCCGATTTCTATGGGGCTTCCTTCCAAGCGAGCGAATTTAAGATTCCCAGCCCTAGTCAGGACTTTTTAAATTTAAAAGCGCGTGGTCTTTTAACACGCACTCGGAGCTACGCGGGGGTGTCTTCTGTAAATAGTGTGTGTGTGTGTGGGCCTGATTTTTTTTCAAAACCGGAGCATCGGCATCCAATTCCGAATAACGATCGTATTTATTTACAGTTGTGCTGTCGGTTTTGTAACAGCTAACGGGTATTCCTCAATGAACTTCGTATAACCAACCTGGAAGTGTGTGCGTGTCCGTTTTCCAGAATCAAGGTGAGGAAGGGGCCAGTTCTCCCAGTTGTAACAAGAGATGGTAAACGTTTGACGCCATGGATTCTGCACCATACAGTGTAGGAGCCTCGCGGTGCAGTGGTTAAACTGACACCATACAGTGCAGGAGACTCATGGTGCAGTGGTTAAACTGCAGCACTGCAGCTGAAACTCTGCTCCTGACTCAGGTTCAATCCCAGGTAGCCGGCTTAAGGTTCACTCAACCTTCCAGCCTTCCAAGTAAATTGAGTGCCCAGCTCCCCAGGGCGAGGCAATAGGTACCCTGCATAATTAAATTGTAAATTGCCCAGGGAGTGGTTTAAGTACTATGTATGTGGTTGGTGCATAAACAGCACACTTTGCTTTTCACTTTTACACCTGCACTCCAGATTTCAGCTGCAAAATCTCTCTAGGGGAATGACTTGGCTTAATGCATAACTTAATGCATAATCCTTTGCCCCCCCCCAAAGAGCTAATAGAAATCTCCACCACCCCGTCTTGCAAGGCAGGAAAATCAGAGAAAGAGGCATCAGCTTAAAGGGACACTGCAAACCTCCCCCCCCCAATGAAGGTGCCCAGGTGGACAGAGGGTGATTTTGTGCCCAAGGCCCTGATGGAGCCACCACTGCCTTTCCCCTGCTGCTCCCTTGTATTTTTGACTGGTTGTAGCCAGAGGGCTCACTGTCAATAATGCAGGAACTACCCCTGGCCCTGATCCCCCTCCCTCCCTCCGCCCGGCACCCTTTGAGCCCAACCTAGCATGGTCTCCGGGGAAGGTGCGGGTGCCCTGGAGACCGGAAACCCTTCGGAAGATCCAGACAGGCCTTTAGTGTTGGTGGCGCTCCGCGGATCCCCCTCCCTCCCTCCGCCCGGCACCCTTTGAGCCCAACCTAGCATGGTCTCCGGGGAAGGTGCGGGTGCCCTGCCCTGGAGAAACCCTTCGGAAGATCCAGACAGGCCTTTAGTGTTGGTGACGCTCCGCGCGCCTGGCCAGCGCCCCCGGCCGAGCGTAGGTGGTGGCCGTCACCCTCGCCCGGGCCACGGCCAGCAGGCCCGCCAGGATGCAGAGGCAGATGCTGGTGAGAAAGGTGGAGGGGCCGATGAGCAGGAAGAAGGCGTAATCCCGGGGGTGCAGCCAAGGCTTCTGGCAGAGGGCAAACGATTCGTTCCCGATGGCAGCGATCGCCTGGCCAGCGCCCCCGGCCGAGCGTAGGTGGTGGCCGTCACCCTCGCCCGGGCCACGGCCAGCAGGCCCGCCAGGATGCAGAGGCAGATGCTGGTGAGAAAGGTGGAGGGGCCGATGAGCAGGAAGAAGGCGTAATCCCGGGGGTGCAGCCAAGGCTTCTGGCAGAGGGCAAACGATTCGTTCCCGATGGCAGCGATGGGGTGGTGGGCGAGGGCGGCCGGGCGCTTGCAGAAGACAGACTCCACTGCTGGAGGAAGAAGGAGCGAGGGGAAAATCAAGGACAGGTTCGCCTGCAGGGAAGGTGGACTGCAAACCTGCCACGGCTGCAGCCCCAAATCTTTCAAGGTGTCAGGGCTCCCCTGGCGCCCTCGCCTCTCACCTCTGGCGTCCAGGTGAGCCCTTGAGTCCCCCGGCCCATCCTCTGTCCTGGCATCTCCTTCGGCAACCCTCATATCAAAGGCATCGCGCGCGCCCCAGGGGCTCCCGTCTCCCGGATCCTTCCCCTCCCAGTTCAGCGGCTCCCTCGTGGCCTGAACTTCGGGAGCCCTGAGATCGGAGAGATCGCCCCTCTTCCCCCACGAATCCAGGCCTTGCCATCCAAAAAGGGAAAAGACCACGATTCCTATAAAGCGGACGGCACCGGCGTCAGAGTCACGGCCGCCTGTGGGGCGGCAGGCAACCTATTTGCCCCTTCACTTGGCCTTGCCCCCCCCCCAGATTTGGGCAGCATCAACTCCCCCCCGGAGCCTCTGCTCAGCCCATCCGAGGGTTCCCCGAGAGCCCCGTGTTGCCCGTGGGCAGCCGTGGCTCACCAGGGTTTGGGGCAGGAGTCTCGCCCAGCCCCGCTGGGAGAGGATGCCAAGGATGATGCCCGGGGCCCCTTTGTCATGCCCAGCCAGGATCCCCTCGAGGACCAACAGCCCCCACCGCACTCACCGGGCACTTTGTCCATGTTGTCCACGAGCCACCGGGAGAGTGGCTGGATGGCGCACGAGCAGACCCAGGGATTGCCGTCCAGCCGGAGGTGACCCAAGGAAGGCAGGCTCTCGAAGAAGCCCGGCCCGAGGGAGGTCAAGGCGTTGCCCTGCACGGAGAGGACTTGGAGACGGGGCAAGGCGCCCACCAGCTCCGGCGGCAGCCTTAGAAGCCGGTTATTCCCCAGGTGGAGTGTCTTCAGGTTTGGCACAGGGGCGAAGGTCCCCGGCAGCAGGAGGGTGAGGTAGTTCCCGCTGAGGTCCAGCTCCTCTAGCTGGCCGAGGCCGGCCAGAGCTTGGCGGTGGACGCTGACCAGGGCGTTGCCCTGAAGGCTGAGCTGGCGCAGGGCGCTCTGAGCCATGAAGGTGCCCTCTTGGAGGACAGCGATGCGGTTGTAGTCCAGCAGGATGGTGGTGGCGTTGGCCGGCAGGCCACCCGGCGCGAAACGCAACCGGTGCTCCCTGCAGTCCACTCGCCCCGAGGAACAGCGGCAGATCTCCGGGCAGGCGTTGGCGGCGAGCGGGGAAAGCAGCAGAAGGAAGGGCACAGCCCAGAGACTCAGGCGTGGCCGCCTCCCATAGCCAGGAAGAGCCAGGCAGCGGGCGGGCAAGAGGAAGGCCTCCCTCATGCCACACCTCGCCATGAGGGCCACCCAAGACAGTCCTGGCACAACGCCGGGGCAAGACCGTCCCTGCTCTTGAGCCAGAAGGCCCACCTGGCCAGGGCCACCTTCTGGCCGGCTCTCCTTGACCACCCCTACGATCCTATAATGATCCTAAGCGAGTGATCTTTTCCAGTTCCTGCAGACCCAGCCTCGCCCGCCAGCCTCTGGACTGAACTGCTCCTCTTCCCCGCCAGCCTGTCCTCTCTGGGTGGAGTTTCTTTTCCTCTTTAGTAAATATTTTCACAGGGCAGCCTTCCCTGCCAAGAGGCAAAGCCACAACTTCCTTGTGGGTCTGCTCCATCTCCTCTAAGAGCGGGACAGCCGTGCCAGGCCACGCCGTACGGGGGTTGGCTAATTCAGAAGCGCATTGTTTCTCCCGACCCTTCCTTCCCCTGGGCTTTGGCTGGTGATGTGTCTGTGAGTTAAGATTTGGCTGGGTCAGAGAGACACACACCAAGACTTCGCTCAAGACTTCAAGGCTGTCTTAACTCCTGGGGTTTGTGATTTTCAGACAGAGCCAGCGACGGACACTTAGAGGACGCTGGGCAGAGTCATTAGAAAGAAGCCAGTAGGACTCACTAAAAACTAATGTGAACTTCCAAGTTTAGGAGGAGTCTACCTGTGAACATCAAAAGCTGGTGGCCAGGGAGGAAGGATGCCAGAAACAGCAATGGGCAGGATGAAGCAGCCACTGGGAGGGGGTTGCTGGGGCTCGTGCTGGGGCCTTCTGCCCCCACCCCTCCCTCGGCAAGAGAGGAGGAAGAAGCTCTGTTTCCCCAACATCTTTTATTGATCTTTTCCTTCTGCCCTGCCCTTTTCCCCCCGGGGGGAGGAAGATCACGGGTATTTGGCATCATAGATAATTTTAGAAGATTTCCTTTGGTCCCGTTCATCCTCCTCGGTCAGGTTGAGAGAGTGGGACACTTTGAACTGAATCATGGTGATGAGGGCAAGCTCTTCCGGATCCAGACCGCTCAGGCTGGCCTCTGGGGTGGGGGGTGGTTGAAGGAGAGAAAGAGAAAAACACAGGGCTTCAGGTGGCACAGCTTGCAGGGGAGATCCGCCCCACGCAGGCGAGCAGAAGCTCCCTGGCCCCATGGCAGAGGGCTCCCGGGGCACCGTCCACCCTGCCTTGCCTGGTCCTCTCCGTTGGGGTCTCACTGTGACCAGAGACGGCCCCACCTCTCAGGCAGCAAGCTTTTATTCTTGGAAAGCCCAGCCTAGAGAAGAAGCAGAAGGCAGAGGAATGGCCTCCTCCTCCCCCCCCCAGGGTCCCCAGTTCTGCTTACCAGTGCAGGCAGGCAGGCAGAGCGAGCAGTTGCTCCAGGAGGTCGCCCGCCTGCAGTCGTCCACGCAGGTCTGAACAGGGACGCCGCAGACTAGGCAGCAAGAGAGGCCACCGCGTGAGGTGTGGCAGGCAGGGCCTCCCTCTCGCCCCTGAATCCCTGGTCCCTCTGGAGGGAGCATCACCCTGCCCTGTGCACATCCATCCTCAGATCAAGCTAGGGGGCGGCGGGGGGGGGAGAATCTAGTCCTCCCTGAAACAAGGGCCCTTCCATGGGCCCCGTTGGGAAGGAAAGTGTCCAGCACCAAACAGGATGGGAGCCATCTCTTAGAACTCCGGCAAACACAAGCTTGAAAGGATTTGCACAAGATGTTGTGTTTCCAACCATTGGGTGGGAACCAAATGATCACAACCCTAACGGGATTTTCAAGGTAAGTGAGATATTCAAGGAGGGTTCTTATCAGTCCCGCACCCCCATCCCAAGGGCTGCTATGACTCAAACCCGGCCTGCTAGTCCTCATTGTGGCCTGCCCGGGTGTTGGCCACCGCTCCCCCTTGCCCCACCCGACAGGTTGCGAGGTCAGCTCCGTTGATCTCTGGGCAACCTGCCAGAGGAGATCTGCCCGCTGTCCAACCTTCCCAGCCCCCCCCCGTTTCCCCTCACCTTTCTCCGCCGTGGTCTGAAATTTGCCACTGCAGTCGCAGGCTGGGCGCGGTGGGTGCGCCGAGGTCGCGCGGCAGTCGGGGCCACCGAAGCCCTCTGCACAAACTGAAATGAAGCACAACCGTGGATGCATCCAGGCCCAGATGAGCTGAGTGGCAAGGGCATAGCTGGGCACACCCACACACCCACACCCCGGCCTCCTCCCACCATGCTTCCTGCTAGGGCAGGAATAACCAGCGGACGCTTCAACCCCAGAGCCTGGCTTGAGCTTAGAGAGGCTCTTTTTTGAGCACAGAAGAGGAAGGATGCCTCTGGACACTCCTAAAAAAGAAGCTCGGCCCTTTTCTGAACTGAGTCATTCCACTCTGCCCTCAACCAGTGAACTGCCCGTCTCTGGCTCTCTTCCCTCGAACAAGCAAGCTTACGGGTCCGCACGAAGAGCGTGGATTCGGCCTCTGGAGCCGTTCCTTCCAGGGAGCTGATCAGGTAGAAGCCCGAGCCGGTTTGGAGGACGGCGAGGCAGACGCGGCGCTCCTGGAGGCACTCCCGCTTCGCCTGGGCCAAACTCGCTGCCGAAGGGTAGAGCCGCTGGGGCTCTCCGAGTCCGGCCACGCCGCGGCCCGGACGCTCCTCAAACCAGTCCGTGGCTAGGAAGGGAGACACTCCGAGGTCAGAGCCGCTCCTGCGGCTGCTAACAGGGCCTGATCCTCATGTCATGCATTAAACATTTTCATAAAATGGAAAAGCAAGTATCTCCAGTTTCCCAGGCTTTATACTGACTCACATCAAAAGCCAACTAATCTGCAAATCTGAACATTCCTACCATCGTACTGATTAATGGGCATTTTAAAAAAGAAAGAAGAAGTCTTCGTAGAAAGAGAGTGGAAGGGTGGTCGTCTGAGCCCCCAGTGCCCCCAAGCAAGAAAGGAAGGGGATGCAGAGCGAATCCTCTCTCCACGGCTGATCTCCTTCTGGGGCGGGCAGAGTGGTAAAGAAGGAGCACATCCTCAAAAGTCCGGCTGGCTAGTGCCCTTCCTCTTTCCAAACCCCTTCATCTGTGCAGGATTGAGGGAGCCCCAAACCCAACACAGAGAGAACAAAACACTGATCTTTCAAGGAACATTCATTTTGCAGTTTTGCATGTTCTCAGTTTTTGGCCTTTCTTTCGAGGGCTGCTCGAAGAAGCCGCCGGGATTGCGAACCAGCGCTTTGCTTCTTCGCCCAACAAGCCCAGTCCCCCCTGTTTCGCTCACCTTCGCTGCGTTTGCACAAGAAGGGCCGCTCCTCCTCGCAAGGGGCGTCGCGGAGAAGGCCGGTGGCCGCCTCGAACCACACGCAGTCCTTCAGGCCACCATCTGCCAGGTCGTCCCGCAGATACCTTTCCCACGTAAAACAAAAGAGGAGTGGGGAGGGAGAAGCTCTGACTCGGACTGCACAAACGTAAACGAGGACCTTTTGAAAGCCCCAGGAGAAATCCACCCTTGCATTCAGCCTCTTGGGGGGGGAAGGTTGGCACCGGGGCCTGTGAATAGGTCTGGATGGCATCAGTATTGTTCCAATCATGCACTGGGAAGGGTCTGGTTTTAACTGGGTGGATAAGGGAACCTGAGCATGGCTGGATCTTTTGGCTTCCTAATAACCTAAGCCGTTTCTAGAAGGGCGCTTGCCTTCGTCTACACAGTCTCCTGTGGCAATAACAACAACAACAACAATAATAAGCGATACTCAGGATGCAGGCACAAATGTTGGTCTAGCGAGACTTTGCTTGAGGCGCCTGGCGAAGCCAGCTGCAGTCCATGAAGGATGATGCCAAAGAATGACCAAAGGTTTTCAAGGTGCCGCAAGACTCCTGGCTGTTTGCCAGTCCTCAGGTCCTGATCCTGCAGCATGCGCTGCTCTCCGAGGAAGCTGCTCGCCACACCCCTGTGGGAGTCACCGCCCCTGGGGCTAACTCTGCCCCATCATCTTCCGCTGAGGAAGGATTGCCAAGTGCCGTCACAACCCACCAAGCCATGCTACTAAGCCTGAAAGACTGCCGGTGCGGGGCCCGGGGCTGGAGGGGTGTAACGGGGACTGTCTTGGGCTCAGGCTGAGGATCGTTCGGCTTCTCCTCAGCCACTCTTCAGTTGGAGGAGTCGCAGATCGCACGGACACTCACGGGGCCATCTCCCGGCTCAGGGGCTCTTCCGTTGTCCAGCGAAAGACGGATTCTGCTTTCCGATCGTTCAAGCCCGTCCAGAAAGAGCCTCTGAAGTTCCGGTGGACCCAATCCTGGCAGGGAAGAATCAGGGAAGCACAGAGTCAACACAGGAGAAAACTAGGGAGGATTTCCATCCATCCATCCATCCATCCATCCATCCATCCATCCATCCATCCATCCATCCAATCCATTCCAATCCAATCCAATCCAATCCAATCCATCCATCTGATCCATCCATCCATCCATCCATCCATCCATCCATCCATCCATCCATCCATCTATCTATCTATCTATCTATCTATCTATTGAACAGGATCTAAGGCTATAGGAGATATTTTTCACAGTACTCCCTATCAATAAGAGGAGCAGGCTTGACTTGTGCCCCCCACCCCCAGGGAGAGTGGCACGGCTGCCCACCTCCCACTCATCCATCACCCAGCAAGGAAGCCAATTGCTGGAGAACCTGGGGCAACTTCCCATGGGCTACAAGCCCCCTGAGACTTCCACCTTCTTGACTCCCAGAGAGAGAGACACACACACACACCCCAATAGCCCTACCCTCTCCTGGGGCGACCAACTTCCCATACAAGCCCCCTGAGACTTCCACCTTCTTGACTCCCAGAGAGAGAGACACACACACACACCCCAATAGCCCTACCCTCTCCTGGGGCGACCTCAGGGACAGCAGCTCCGTCCCCTTGAACCGCCGGCAGGCCCGCAGGGCATCCGTCCAGCTGCCCACCGACAACAACGGGTCCCAGAAGTAGCAGCTCCCGTTCCAGTGGCTCCACCCTCTCTCTGTCGGGCAGGGGCTCCAGGGCGCTGAGGAAGAGAGGAAGAAAGCCCTCCAGGAAAGAAAGGGACACCTTGGCAGGAGGGGGGGGGAGCCTGGCCAGGATTTCTGCCCCTCCGTCTTTGCAGAAAGGCCCGGCATCCTGCCAGGAGGGCCCAAAGGGGTTATCGGCCCTCGCCCGGTGCAACAGCAGCAGCAGCAGGGCCAGCCTGTTTGCTATGGGGCAGCCCCCCCTCAGTTCCCCCCCTCCAGTCCCCTTCCAAAGCCCAGCCAAGTGCTCACCCCAGGGCCCTTCGCACACCCAGGCCTTGAGTTCGCCCCCAGTCCCCTTCCAAAGCCCAGCTAAGTGCTCACCCCATGGCCCTTCGCACACCCAGGCCTTGAGTTCGGAACACGGGGAGGCAGCCAGGTCTCGCCCCTTCGGACGGCCAATTTCCAGGCAGCCTCCAGTTGGGAGTTGGATACCCGCCAGCCTAGGAGGAAAGAAACCAAGCGACATCTATCTATCTATCTATCTATCTATCTATCTATCTATCTATCTATCTATCTATCTATCTATCTATCTATCTATCTATCTATCTATCTATCTATCTATCTATCTATCTGCAGGGCAGGGCAGGGCAGGGCAGGGCAGGGCAGGGGGGCTTGGATCAGATCGCCCCCAAAAGGGAGCGCTCTTTCCCCAAAGGACTCACCAGGGAGAGGAGAGTTCGCCCGGCTGGCCACTGGCCCATGTCCAGGTCCCATCC